TTTTTTTTTTTTTTTTTTTTTTTTAATCCTTTGAAACAGGAGCTAGCAAACTAAGGCTCATGGGACAGATCTGGCCTACCACCTGAAGTTTTAGTGAGACACAGCTATGTTTATTGGCTTACATACTGTCTGTATAGTGTGTCTGCGGCTGCCTTTTTGCCACAACAATAGTTGGATAGTTACAACAAAGACTGTATGACACACAAAATCTAAAATGTGTATTCTCTGCCCCTCTAGAAAAAATAAAAATAAAAAAGGTGATGATCCTTACTTAAGAGGCATATTAAGAACTAGTTTTTTTCAGTTTACTGAAGAACTCATTCTGATAACCTTTTTTTGTTGGTAATATTCCATATATACGGACTCTTAAATTTGCCATTTTATGGCATTGTTCTTACATTCTTAGAATATTTAATACTTTGTGAACAAAGACTTTTTAGGCAAGCCTAGAAGCAAATAAGCCACGTTGCAAATATAATCTGTAAACACTGTTTTGTCTCTATTTTGTCCCTAATGTTATCTATTATTAAACCATGAGAAACACAGTGTAATTCATGAGACTTTAATACACGTAAGATAATTAGAGAATGATGCAAGATAGTGTAGAACTTTCAATTTATTGGTATAGAAATATTTGTTAACAGTCTACTGTTTCTGTTAGGAAGTGGGAGAAGGGTGATTAGGAAAGGTGAACCTCTCCAAAATCATTGTTTTAAGCAAATCAGTTTTAGGAGAAATAACATATGGGTATCGAGATCAGCAAATAGATATCCTTAAAACTATGCCATATGCTCCTTGAAAGTTTTCTGTATATCTGGGGGTACATGTTACCACTGTGTTCAGGGATGTGCTTTACCAATAAGAGGGACTAAGCCATGAAAAAAATAAGACATTGGATCTGGAAAACTGGAGTGTAAAATCATGTACTCCATTTTATACTTCTCCATTAGTATTTTAATGTATTTTCAAGAGGGAAGCGAGGTAAAAACGAGAATAAAATGAGGTAAGCTGTTGCTCACTATTGCCTTCTTATTATATCTTAACTGTAATGAGCACATAGGAGAATTGTTAGGGACCTATTTTTTGTTACTTCTTTTTGGGATCAAGGACATTTACCACTTGATTCCATGCTAGGGAAGAATTTAAAGCTATGGAATAATTTATGGTTTAGTACCTTATTTCAGGGACATGTGGTGCTCGGCCAGGAGCTTTCTGGGGTTCCTTTTAGCCAAAATATGTGGCGTTTCCAAATCAAAGCGAGTAAAAAATGTTTCTTAAAATATAGACTAATTGACTTTGAAATAGGAAGGTCACTTAAAGGTTGTCTTTCAGCTGGTATAGGAATTTCTTTTTACACAGTTCCTAAGCATTTAAGCATGGTGTTTCACAAGCAGAAAGACCCCAACATTAGGGAGTCAGCTGATTCATCTTTGGGTAGTCCTTCATGCTAAGTCAAACTCCAGCTTCACCTCTCTTTAACTTAGATGCATGGAGTCTGACTTTTGGAGCAACAAAAAATTAGTCTGTTTTCTTTTCCTCCCAGTAGCCATTTAATAATGGAAGCCATCTATCGTGTTCTTACGCCTTCACTTCTTTAGTTTAACCAGTTCCAGTTTTTTACTCATCACATGATGTAGTTTATAGACTCATCCTGAGTACCGAGCTCTGAATCCACTGTAGATTTTTGTCTTCTTCAGATGGTTCAGATTTGAACACAGTACTCCAAAAGTAGTTTCACTGGTTCCATGATACTAAAACACATCTCTTGATTTGATTAAATACTGTCCTGCTAATGTTTTAGCAAATACCTCACATTAGTACCTCCCATTCATTGTTCAGCCAAGCCATCCTTTTTTTCATATGTGTGGCTTTCAAGCCAGGATACCGTCTTATTTTTAAGTTACTTTTTATAATATACACTCTGAACTTTATATTTATCTCAGTATATTTCCATATCTGTGTTGTCATCACTTTAAGAAGTATTTCCTCTGGTTGCAGAGGTGACATCACCTGGGAAATGGGAGATTGACATTCATTGATATAGACAGAATTTGATTACGTCAAATGTTTCAAAAAGTTACTTCATCAGACCACCAGATGGAGTAATACATTTATGTTTCCCATTGCCAGGATTTTCTCACTTGTCCTCCAGTTAAATCCTATTAATTTTAGTTTATGGCTATTTATAAACTAATTATTTTTATTATATCATCATTTATGGGTATTTCGCTTATAATTTTGGACAACTTTATATTAGAAAATCCCTGGAAATTCTATTTGTTTAAAATTCTTCAACCACTTTTGAATTTCTTAAATCTAAAATGATATCAGACCTCGTATGTAAGAGTATGAATACAAAGGATTGGTAGTTCTCCTGGTTTTACTCCTTCCTAATCTGCTGTAGCTCTTTGTTATTATTTTGGTTTGCCCCGGTGCTCAGTTATCGCTGTGTATTTTCGTTACCCTTATGCTTTTACTCAGTCCTGCAGCTTGAAAACTGTCCGTATGCTGAAACCTTCCAAAGTTTTATCTGTATTACTGACCCCTCCCCCCAACCTTCAGACTAATTTACTTCAGTTGGACATCAGAATAGCTTTCAAACATAACATATCTGAGTAGAGCATTTGATCCATGTTCCCTGACCCCAATTAGACCTATTCCGACTCCTCTCCTAGTCTTCCTCAACTTGGTAAAATGTTCCACTCTGGCTGACCATGGTCCCTTGTAAATCCTATCCATGAGTCCATTGTCTCTTCCTTCAAACACAGAATCTGGGTCTGTTTCTCACCACCTCTGCTGCTGCCTCCCTAATCTAAGCCACTACCTTCTGTCATCTAGACTACCCTGACTCCCTCACTGGCCTTTCTACTACCACCCAGTGCCCCTTATGATCTCTTTTCCACGTAGTAGCCAAAGTTAACTTAAAAACATAGATTAGGGTATGTCACTTGCCCTATTGGAAACCCTATAAGAGCTTTCTCTCATATCTAAAATACAATCTACATTCCTTACCTTGGCCTGTGGGACCCTACATGATCCAGTCCCTCCGTCTCCTTTTGACTTCTCTCCTTTTACTCTTCTCTTGGCTCATTCCAGTCCAGGCTTCATGATGTTCCTTCATGCTATTCTTTCCTTAGGGCCTTTAAATATGTTGTTCCCTCTCTTAGTTTATTCAGATGTCAGTTCCTCAGAGAAATCTTTCTTAGCTACCTGTACGTTGACTTAGGAATTAAGACAGAGTTTAGGTGAATTAATATTTTATGTTGATTTTTATATTACATATGCCTAATAATGTTATTTTAATTTATTTTCTAACAGAGAAAAGACGAGATCCCCCAAATGGTAAGCTCTTTGATACAAATTATTGATCAAGAAGATTTTAGGTTAAAGTTTAATCTTTTTAGAAACATATCATACGTTAATACTTAATGTTTAGTATCTGTGATCAACTACTGTAGTTTATTGTGTTATTTTAAAACAACAAAGATGAGTCTTAGAAATGTACTATTCTGTGACTTTTTTGTAGCATGAAGGAAGTCTCCATAGGGTGACAGTCAATATTATATCTTCATTCTGTATTCACAACTGATTAAGTTGAGAAACTATAATCTTGACTTAGTATCTTCTTTGAAGAGAAGGAAGATAAATTCAGTCTGCGTACTTTAAGATGTGTCTTTTCTTTTAATTTCAAAATACAATTTCACGCTTGTAATGCAAAATTAGCCCCTGGGAGAATGAACACTGACTTTAATGGTATGTTTAGAGCTAATAGTAGTTGTATCTAACCCTCCTTAGTTTGATAGGGAACACTTGAAGTGTTGTGGATTTCATTTAAAAAACAAACAAAACATGTATACCAGAAAGTAAAAGCAGAATACTAAAATAAAAAGGACAAAGTCCCAGATCTTTAGGGTAGAGATTCTCATCCTTGACTCCATAAAGCGTCTCTGAAATAGTGTGTTAAATTTTTAAGTGTATATATTTTCTCTGGGGAGAGAGGATGCAGGGCTTTCGTCACCTTTAAATGGGGTCCCCGATCCTGTGAAGGTAAAGAACCATTGCTCTAGGAACCTTCAATATAATGGAGAATGCTGCTTTTTCCTTTTAAAAGCATCTCACATCCTCTCATCAGAGTTTAGATAGATTATTCAGGGAAACAAATAATACAGAGTTCTTAATATATGACAACTACTGGTGATTGTTAGGGTTTGTTTCTTTTAAACACATATATTGCTTTCTGAATTTATCCTTAAATTTGTTTTCCTGATATAAAAACATGAATGAAATACTGCTGTATGACCGTTTGGATTATTTACCTTATTGTAATAAAAAAAAATGGCTGCCTTAGGTAGCCTTAGGGCTTATCTTGTGCCAAATATTATATACTTTGTCTTTTAAATGGAAATCTTAATTTATAGGACTTCTGTGGAGATTAAATGAAGTAATCAAAGTACTTAGCCTAGTACTTAGTAAATATTAGTTATCACGATGAAGACAATAACAACAATAATCATAGCAGCTCCTATTTACTGACTACTTACTCCCAGCCAGGCACTGTCAGCAATCTTACGAAGTAGCTGCTGTTATCTCCATTTTATAGGAGAGCAGCAGGGGCACAGGTGAGTAACTTTCTCAAGGGCACAGAACTAGTTAAGTGGTAGGGCAGGATTCAGTCTCAAGCAGTCTAACTCCACAGCCCACCCCCTGAACCACTGTGCCATGTCCAGAAGATTTTGAAAGAGAAACTGAGACTTAGCCCGAGTAAATCAGTACCCCAGGTCCTGGGGCTAATATGTGGCAGAGGCAAAGGGAGGCAGAAGCCGCCGAGTCAGAAGTCCTTCATCCGTGAACTTTTACGTCAGTGTTGGAATTCTCTCCCTTGTTGGTGTCCTCAGTATTTTAATCTTTTTGCATTTATTATTCTGCATTCTGTGATTCTGCATTCTGCATTCTGCTTGTATGAATACAGGGGGAAGGCTTCCTAACAGTGGCATCTTTGGGGAAAGTAACCTGAGATTTTAAAGTGTAGACGTTGTACAAATAATATAAGTTAAGGGTGTAAATACCTTATGGGGTTTTAAAAATTTTAATCTTTTCAGTACATTTAAAATATACTTCCGAAAAGGCACCTAATCCATGAATACAAAGAATTTGGATATTCCTTATGTGACAGTGGTATCTCACCATTTTCTTACTTCTAGTTAGGATACTCATAATTAAATATAGTTTCTTTCTCTGCAGTTGCTCTTGCTTTCAAATCTTTAGACCTGTAGTTTTTACCCTTAGGTGCAGTGATCCCAAACTTGTTTTCATTAAATGACAGTTATAAAAATAGTACCATTAAAAGGCAAAATTGCACTAACCAATATTTGTATATTTCTTTATAAAATGTACATATAATATGGTATTAATATATTACATAATAAAGGATGAAATAATAATTAATAGAAGTTTTCATGTTTTTTCCTGATGTGCAGTCCTTGTCTTGCTCTCCCCACTGTGGAGACCGCTGTGGAGACTTGCTCTCCATGTGGAGACCGCTGTTTTGGAGGCAGCATATTACTTTTCTGCATTTGGTGCCCGACCAGCAGATGCAGTGGACACATAACCACCTTGCGATGTCCATGCTGGTGCTTTGACTTCCACCCTCGTTTAGATTATCAGTTTAGCAGGCTTTTCTCGAATTGTAACTATTAAAAAGACACTTTATGTACAAGTAACATATATTCCTGAAATGCAATTCAGTGTCTTCTTCACTAACTCCTAATCCGTACATCTTTCTTTTTTCTTTATTGGTCAGTCTCACCTTTTAGCTTAGACGCTTTCCAATGATTTGTTCTCAGCTTCATGACTGCTTGACATCAGAGGCCTCTGGGCCACCTGTTTCTCAACTATTTTACCTTGGTGAGAGTTCTCTGCTTTTTATGAAATTAAGGGGAGGACTTTAGTTTGTTCTTTTAGTTTTAAAATTAACTAGAAATGCTGTTCAGTGAGAATATTAAAAAGCCTTTTCTGTGACAGTTGTCTTTAATCAGAAGAAGGTAATTTATCATTTGACTGTTTTTTGAAAAAAAAGAACGGAAACAGCCTCCTCCATTATATATTTACTTAGTATATGTTCTTAGGATGAGTATAATTTCGTAAGTGGAAGAATTAAATTACTTTTTACTAGAAGTGATTTGAGAGTATCTCTGTAATCTCTTACCAAATCTCCCATAAACCTTACTTTATTAAAAAATGACTCTGTGCTTTGTACAGGTTTTTACTTTTTTTAGTCTGTCACTTTTGAAACAAATATTTAATTGGGCTTTAGAATGCTATTTTAAACTTATTTCTGAACACCTTCTAACTGTAAATGACTATTATCAACAGAAAGAACCAAGTACCCATTCCCTTGAATACGTAGGAAACTTTTTTCTAAATTTTGAAAGTTACTAGTGAATATTTATTAAATAATAAACTGTTTATAAACTAAGAGAACTAATAAATTGGTAAGGAAATTATATACGGTGACATTTGTAAAGTTAGCATTATCAATCACCTTATGGTTTGACATTAGTGTAGGAAGTACAATAGTAGTTAATAGAAAGGGTAGTGGACCAGGAACCAAGATTGCAGAGTTCAGCCTTTGTCACAGTTGTGTGACTTTTGATAGGTCACCTGACTCTTCACCTTAATTTTCCATCTATAAAAGGAAAAGTTTAGGAAAACAGTCTAATTTCCTAGCTAATACTAATTTTCTATACATTGCTATAATTCAGATTTTCCTGTGTAGACTTAACTAAATAATCTTTTAACTGGTACTAATCAAATTCACGTGTAATGATTCTAAATAGCTAATTCAAAGGCTTTATAAACTGCTTGGCAGACATATAACAGTATATCCACATCTCATTTTGGGGTAGAGAGAGGAGGGGAAACACAGTCTGACTACAGTAGGAGTTAAACTTTTTCATTCTACATACCACTTATGTTTTTTTCCTGTCTTCTTTATCCTTGAACTTTCTTCAGAGATGGCTGAATTATTTTCTCTAGCGACTTACGCATCAGGCTTACAAAAATCTTAACTTTTAAAAAATTCCCAGAGAAGAATTTATTAGCTAATTTAAGCTATTAAACTTCCCTTTATAGCCAACTCTACTTACTGTTTAGAATATCCACAAAATAATAATAACTTTTATATAACCCAAAGCAGCATAAAAATATTGTTATTTTTGTTTTTTTTCCAAAAACTAATAATAGTTTTGTTGTTGTTTTTTAATGGTGAATCTGGCTGTTCCTTTATAGTTACTATTTGAACACCTATTTCAGGAGGGGTGGTATTCTAAAAAAAATTTTTTTAAACATTTATTTTATTTTTGAGAGACAGAGTGTGAGCAGGGGAGGCAAAGAGAAGGAGATGCAGAATCTGAAGCAGGCTCCAGGCTCTGAGCAAGCTGTCAGCACAGAGCCTGACGCGGGGCTCGAACCCATGAACTATGAGATCCTGACCTGAGCCGAAGTCAGATGCTCAACTGACTGAGCTACCCAGGTGCCCCAGGGAGGGGTGGTATTTTTAAAGAGAGTGCCTCACTCTGATACTCCTAAATCTGTCTTAAGTCACGTCTTGAATTGTATTAAGTATAAAGATAGAATAAATAGTGCTTTGCCACAGCTTCTCATGGATGGTATTGCTGATACTGACTTGTAAAGACAAATTATAAGAGGGAAGGCAGAAAGAGAAGGATGAGAAGTAAAAACAGATCATTAGATAAGCCTTTGTGTATGACACCAATTTAACCTCTAATACTTAAATTCTGGTTATTCTCGATTAGTCCCTTTGTGAAACTACTTGTGAAACTTTGTGAAATCTGCTATCTGAACAAATTTGAAAACCTAAGTCTTTATCTACTATTAATAAGCCTAATTGCTTAACTAACTTTTAATTTTTGATCCAGCTATTTTAGATTATTCCTTGACACTGAATCAGCTTATTTTCATGGTTTTATCCATTTTACTCACTAGCTTTTATTTTTTTCAAATAAGAAGTTATTTATTTCTTGCCACTATGGGCAACTTCCCATGGAATTTTATATGAAAATATAAGTAGAACTTTTATACACCTAAATGTAAGTAGACCTTGAATATGGAGGGAAAAATAGCTGAATTTTGGTGACGTTAAAAATACGCATCTTTCCAGATTGTCTACTTGTCTGATAAGGTGGCAGATGGCTTTCATAAATTTATTTTAACTGTATTTTATCTTTAATAGTAGAGTTGAGAGAGAGAAAATGGGTTATATATAATTTACCCACTTAGATGAACATTGTTCTTTCAGGTAACTTTAATGAATAGGATACATTTGAGCTGTTTACTGCAAGTGAAGAATTAGAGTCAAATTGGCAATTAGTTGTTACCTAATATACATTAGCCTGTAATTTCTTGGGATTTCCAGTTGCTCTTCTATGATTGTGTTGGGGATCCTCAAGATCAAAGCCTAGTTGATTTACTAGAAGGACTCAGCGGGACCAAGCACACAGTGAAAGGATATAAAACAAAATCAGCAAAGAGAAAGACACATGGGGTTAGGTCTGAGGGAAAGCACACCCAACTTTGTGATCGTCTTCTCCCACTGGAATCACAGGGGATGCACATCATTCCTCCAGTAAAAATTGTTACAGCACATGTGAAATGTTGAGTAAAGGAGAAACTGATTAGGGATCAGTGCCTGGGGTTTATCTGGCGCTACTCACGTAGTCATCCTCTGTCTAGCACATACCGAGATTCTGGACTCCCAGGAGGAAAGCAGGTGTTTAGCATTAAGCACATTGTCAGCACAAATAGTTGAGGCACAAGGAGCCCATCCTATCAGGAAATGGTAAGAACCCTCTTGGAATCCCAGTTTCCAGATGCCAGCTGAGTGTCAACCTTGCAAGCAGGTCACTCTAAGAGTGGCAGGCTCAGGCCTACTGTGTTAACTCTTTCTCTGCACAGTAGTGGTTACATTGTAGACAACATTTTGAAAGTTGTCATTACTCATCTCAAAGGAATTAAGTCTGATAAGTGGTTTTGTCAGAGTATCATATATTAAAATGGACTCTCTAAGGAACATGTGAAGCTCTTTAGTTAAATTTATAAGGAATTTTAAAATTGAATACATTTCATTTAGACTATCGTGCTTTTAAGGCCACAATATTTTCGTGAATTTTCAGACAGGTTTTGTATGCTATATTTAGTGTCACTCCTAAAGATGCTATTAATAGTATCTGAAGATGCCCGAGATATTTTCACTATTGATTCTTGTGGAAGATGAGTGTTTTGCGAATGTTCCCATTTTGTTTTTGAGCCCTGTACTTCTATTAATCAAAGTATATGTATGATAGGGAAAATATTACCGGATTTAAATATGGTAGTTTTGGAAAAAATACTAATAATTGTAAAACTACTTTGTTCCCTCATGGGCTAATAAAGTTGAAACAAAGAAGTATGACTAGATTTCTTTGTCAGATTTAAAATGAAGTATGTACTTTTTTTTTTTTTTTTTTTTTTTTTTTTATTAGCCTTGTTATGTGATATATACCATTTTACCATGGAGTGATGTGATGTGTATCAGGCTATTGTAGTCCAAATTCAAGGGATTAGATCAATTAAATATAAATTCTTATTGAAAATATGTGTTTCCCGAGGGATTTAATATTATAAAAATACAAGTTTGCTTTCAAATAACATCTATGCTAATGTGTTTAAGAATTTATTATAGGCTTTTGAAATTTAGGAAGTACTTTATCCTTTATTTATAAAAGACTAACATGCAAGTTTAAATTTTAAATAATTTATATTATTGAAGTGGTCCTACTTCAGAGAAAGATATTCAAATTGTAAATAATCGGAATGTAATAATTGTTATCTCAAGTTTTATTCCTTTCATATTGTTTTGCAGGTCCTAATCTACCCATGGCAACAGTTGACATAAAAAATCCAGAAATCACAACCAATAGATTTTATGGTCCACAAGTCAACAACATATCCCATACCAAAGAAAAGAAAAAAGGAAAAACAAAAAAGAAGAGATTAACCAAGGCAGATATTGGAACACCAAGCAATTTCCAGTAAGAGAGTTCTTTTGTTTTTCTTATCTTTTGATTTACTCATTACTGCTCTTGATTTTTAACTTGTTAGAAAATTTAGTTTTCTTATTGGTGGGGGGACCCTTACATTTATCATTTGTGTACCTTTTTAGCTATAGATTTTGTTGGGAGGTGTTTGTTTGTTTTTTAAGGCTCAGTAGACTTTCTCTGTATCTTAACCGTTTATTTACTTTTCTACCCATCAGTAAAGAAAAATTAGATGAAGTTGTTTCTTTAAATAATTGTTGGACATAGTGATTTCTCACTTTTTCTCTATAAATGGTATTTGAAATTGCCTGAAGGCACTGTCTCAGTCCATTTGGGCTGCTGTAAAAGAATACTATAGACTGAGTAGCTGATAAGTAACAGAAATTTATTTCTCACAGCTCTGGAGACTGGGAAGAGGCAGGCGAAATGTAGTGTCTGGTGAGATTCTTCTTCCTGGTTCATAGACCGTGCGTGGCCTTCTAGCTGTCTTCCTCACATTTTGGAAGAGGGCAAGGAAGCCTTCTTGGGCCTTTTATCTAAGGGTGCTAATCCCATTCTTGAGGGATCTACCCTCAAAATATAATCACCTCCTAAAATCCTCAGGTCCACATATCATCACATTAGGAATTAGGTTTCAACAAAGGAATTTTTAGGGGACACAGACATGTAGTCTATAGTAGGCATCAAACCTTTCCTATTTCTTTGATGTATTTTAAGCATTTTCATATACATCATTTCATTAGGTCGTGACAAAACTCTTATATTCTCATATATATAATTCTTGGGGTTTTTTTGTTGTTTTGTTTTTGTTTTTGTTTTTGTTTGTTTTTCTTTTTTTGAGAGAGCTCCAGCTAGGGAGAGAGGCAGAGGAAAAGAGAGAGCGAATGCTAAGCAGGCTCCACGCTCATTACAGAGCCCAATGATGCGGGGCTTGGTCCCACAACCCTGGGATCATGACCTGAGCCAAAATGAAGAGTTGGATGCTCAACTGACTGACCCACCCAGGCGCCCCATAAAATGCCTGTATTCTTAATGACAGTTTGACAGTTGAGGAAATGGATGCTCAGAAAGATTGTGCAAAGGTGTTAAGACTCAGTAGCATAGCCAGGGCTGGAATCATACAGTTTTCCCCTGAATATGGTTATGTCTGTGAGAACTATTAGTTCAGGGCCAAAATTTATTGGGTGGTTTGGATTTGATGTATGTTATGTTTTAAATGCTCCTTATGCATTTTCTATTTTTTATTTTATTTTTGTCTACTTCTTCAGGCACATTGGACATGTTGGTTGGGATCCAAATACTGGCTTTGATGTAAGTATCTTTGCAAGTCATAAACATTATTGCTCTAAATAAGTGGGAATGCAATGGCCTGTGTGTTGATTTTTATTATTCATTTTTGTGAATTCTGGCGTTTATTTGAATGTGTTTATGCACATATACTACTGAGGTTTGAAACCTTCGTATTCTTCAGTCATTTATGGCTATGTCTCTAAAGACAAAGGTTTTATACTCCTTGGATTTACATACTGTAATGTGAAATTCTTGTGTGTTGACAGCAAGAGAAAGAAACTATTTCTGCTAGCTGATCGTTTTTGGGGAATGTATGCCAAATTACTGGAGAATAATCAATTTCTGAATTATCCAGTTGTTAAATTGTCTAGGTCTTTTCATTCTATTCTTCTTGGCAATTTCGTCATTATTTAATTTACAGCACTGAGCAAGGTACGTTAAACTGCTGGCAAAAATATGTGTTTTTAACATTTTACCTGTATTTTTGGTTGCTTAAGTATTAATACGTATTTCACAGTTGACCAGATGATCAGGATTTGGAAAAATTATTTTGAAGAGAAATACTTGTGATTGGGGTCAAAAATCCTTCTGGTTATTTTTGTTATAACTACAGTGTTAACTCTACAACATTTATTGAATGCTTCTTTGTGTTGGGCACTGTACAGGGTGCTGAGGTTATAAGGAGGTCCTTGTCCTCAGATTTTCAAATTGATTTACTTCTTTTGTTTATTTGTGATGTATCTAAATTTTATTTAGGAATAGGTGAACATTGGAAATGTTTAATCATAAATGGGTTAGTAAAACTCTAAATGAGATGCCCTTTTTGAAGGAAGGGAACAAAACAAAATAAAAATGTATTCTTTGTTCTTACCTTTTCTGTTTTATTTAAATAAGAAAGTTTAGTTGGAATATAAATAACCATATTTCAACTTAAAATAATTTCATAAAGGGCAAAGATGAGGATCAAATTTGATCATGCTTATTTTTAAAAATTGGGATCGATTTTACAGTTAGTTACTTTATTTGTTTTAGCTGAATAATTTGGATCCAGAATTGAAGAATCTTTTTGATATGTGTGGAATCTCAGAGGCACAACTTAAAGACCGAGAAACATCGAAAGTTATATATGACTTCATTGAAAAAACAGGAGGTGTGGAAGCTGTTAAAAATGAACTACGAAGGCAAGGTAATTTATTTTTTCATTTAAGCATTGTAATCCTTTTTTTTTCTTTTGACTATTTTGAGGTCAGTTTCATGGAAGACAGCTATACACATTCCTGTGAACCTTCCGTAAGCAGAATATTTGAATTTATAGATAACTAACTCGACCGGGTATTGTTTTACATTATTTTGATGTAACTAAAACATTTGGTGGGGCACCTGGGTGGCTCAGTCGGTTAAGCATCCGACTTCGGCTCAGGTCATGATCTCACAGTTTGTGAGTTCGAGCTTCACATCGGGCTCTGTGCTGACAGCTCAGAGCCTGGAGCCTGCTTCGGATTCTGTGTCTCCTTCCATCTCTGCCCCTCTGCCACTTGTGCTCTGTCTCTATCTCTCTCAAAAGTAAATAAACATTAAAAAAAAAAAATAGAAAAAAAAATCAAACATTTGGCAAGGTTTTTCTTACTAAAAAGTCTTATATTCATGAATATCCGTACAAAATCTTCTGGCTATTCTATCTTAGAATAAAAATTTATAGTTGCGTAATATCTTAATTAACAAATCTTAGAAACCACCATTAAAGTTGTTTTTATTACAACTCAGAAGTAGTAATTTAAAAATAATCATTGTTTAATCAGTAATATATAAGCATTTTCAAGGATATAAATAATGAAAATTATTTTGAAATACAAACATTTTTTTCTTGGTAAAGAATAAAATTTATCATTTAGTACTTTGAGTATACTAATTTGCATCCTTTTAAGATCTGATATTTAAAGCACCTTCTGTTTTAGTTGTATGTTAATTGAACAATAAAGTGTAAATTCAATAACTGAATTTTCCAATATGACAATCATCTCTTTGCCACCTTATTCATTTGAGATTGCTTTTCTTCTATCTAGCTTTTGTGTACAGAGCAAAAGTTCCATTTTATCAAAGTATTCTGAGGAATTTCACTGTCGTTTTAAATTAGGTATTTGACTTACTTGTATCTTTTTCAGTACTGATGTTCATTCAATCTTTCATTTATTCATCTATTCAGTAAACATTATGCCAGCACTCATTTCCACTCAGGATATTTAGATGTTTATTAAATAAAAGGTTTCTGCCCTCCGAAATCTCGTAGTCTAGTGTGGAAATAGATATTTAAACAAGTATATAGTCAGAAATTGCTATTGCAGAAACACAATGTTAGTTTCATTGAAATTAGTATGATGCTAATTTGTTTTAGTTTTTGAAAAAATTACATTTCCAGGCTCTATGGATTTTTAATAAAAACATCTTGGGCATAGCACCATTATTGTTTTTAAATGCTCCCAGAATAAGTCACGTTTACTGGTAGTGTGTTTCCCAACTCTCTTTTTCCATGGTTATCACATACCCTCACATTACCAAATTTTGCTTGGCATCTCTCTGAGCTCTCTGAATTTATAAATTTATAAATGACTCTTGACCTTTACTGGGCTACCCATATATGTCCCCTCACACCTGAATACCTGTGACTGAGGGTTGTCTAGATTAACTTGATTGGATTTTTTTTTTTTTTAAGTTACAAATATCAATCTTTGTTTATTTTAAATAATTTATTTTCAATTTTTTTTTTTTAACGTTTATTTATCTTTTTGGGACAGAGAGAGACAGAGCATGAACGGGGGAGGGGCAGAGAGAGAGGGAGACACAGAATCAGAAACAGGCTCCAGGCTCTGAGCCATCAGCCCAGAACCCGACGCGGGGCTCGAACTCACGGACCGCGAGATCGTGACCTGGCTGAAGTCGGACGCTTAACCGACTGCGCCACCCAGGCGCCCCTAAATAATTTATTTTCAAGTTAGCTAACATACAGTGTATACAGTGTAGTCTTTGCTTCGGGAGTAGATGCCCATGATTCATCACTTACATACAACACCCAGTGCTCATCCCAAGTGCCTTCCTCAATGCCCATTTCCCATTTTCCC